CCTCCGCGCTGGTCTCCTGTGGCTGTGGCCTCGATGCAGTAACAGAAAGCGGGTCCTCCTCGCATCTGAGCGCTGTGGTGCGGTTCTAACGCTGAATGGTTTTACCGTTGCCCTCACCTCGCCCCTCGGCAGGGACTGTTGCAAGGGCACGTAGTCTCTCCGGTGTTACAATTCCGTGTGTACCTGCGGTGTGTCACTCTAACACCATTAGGATCACCCTGTCACTTTATTTCTACGCTGGTGTTCGTTGGGAAGCCAAACCATCAGTGCTGGTGCTGTACCAGCCTGCTCTTGTGGAAGTTGCTCATGAGTTTGTGGTGATATGGCTTTTTTTTAAAAAAACAAAAGTTGTATTGGCAATGCTGGAGCGTGTGAGAGGACCCGTCCTTCAGTTTGTGATTAGGACAGGATGAGGAGGGGTGTATCTAATGTTTCATGATACTGTAAACAGTCACCAAATGCAGAGGCCTGCTGCTGACTCTCAGTCTTGCTGTCTTCACACATCTCTCCCAGCCAGTAACTGGGGCAGCACCAGCAGAGCAGGACTGGGAAATTGGTGTTTCCTGCAAGCAAGGCCAGCCACGGGTAGTGGAGGATGGTACAGGGAACAGCGGGCATGTTTTACCACTTGGCTGCTGTGCAGTGAATTTCCGTGGGTCGGCTGCTGCTCTGAGTTATCTGAAATTTTTGGGTGTTTTTTTTTTGCTGTGTTAGGTCAGTTCTGAACTTTGTCAATACCCCTGGACTCCTGTCAAGGAAAACATTAATCTAAAACCAAAATTGTCTCTCCTTTTTGTGAGCATACTTTGGTAGAATTTGCTTTCAGATATGGTGGGTAATCCTTACCAGAAGATAAAATGAGGCAGAGAAGCCCCTTCTCTCCCCCCGAAAACCCTCCATATCATGTTTAATTGACATAAAGTAGGACTTTGTGATCAGTAAGGAAATGCAATGCTTGGAAGAAAAGAGAACTTCTGCTGGAAGGGACATTGCAGAGGAGCTGTGAGAGGGCCCTGGCTGTTGCCCGCTGTCCCGCTGTGCCATGCGGGGGCTGGCTCTGCCTGGGGGACGCTGGCAGCTCAGCTTTCTGTCACTCAGGGCAGGTGGTGTGACCCTGGTGCTGCAGGTTGGCGCTGCCTGGCCCCTGGTGAGGACGGGCAGAGGCTGCAGGGCTGCACCCACTGGCCCTCGCCTGATGCTCAAGGCTCTGGGGGCTGCGCTTGGTCCTGTGAGTGTCTGCTGCGGGGACAGAGGGGAAGGACACAGACCTCCTCTCTTCACTCTCCTGAGCCAGGCATTGGAAACAAGGGGTTAAAATATTAATTATGACACACCACTGAATTATTAGCTTTGTCTAACACAATAAAGATTTCATCAGATCCTTTAAAAAGCAGGGTTAGCTCCTCCCACTTCTTTTTATAACTCTGAATTTTAAGTCCCACTGGGGAGAAAAAAAATGTGGGCAGACATCATCTGAAACTGGATACTTTTCTATGTAAGGCTTTGAAATGCCAAAGTTGATTTAAGCAATTCTTCAGCTGAGTGTTTTGCCATGCAGTGTTTTTCTGCCTGGCTCACCCCAGGCTGTGCCTGCCTGTATCTCCCCCTGCGGCACGGGCTCGGGAGCCTTTGGTGGGGGCAGCTGTGGCACGCACGCTGTTTACCAACTCCTCGATATGGACAAACAAAGGTTTCATTCCTGGGCTATGGAAAACTGCTGCTGATTAATCCACGCCCTCTCTCTGGGGAGGAAAACACAATAAACACTAATGTCTCTTCACCCTTTTATGCCTCGTATATTAATCACCCAACAAGAGCTTGTGGCTTTTCCCTGTTCCAGTTTGCATTTGCCCTGTAACTACTGGGAGGAGTCCTGCTTTGTCTATAAAAAGGCTGCACTTTGCCAAACATTGTGACAGAACCAAATTTAGGGATTCGCTCACCCATCCTCTGCGGGGAGAGGAGCGAGTGCAGCCATGTTCGGGATTGGGAAGAAGCTTGCGGAGGAAGCCACGCAACAGGCTGAAAGCGCTGCACAGGTGGCAGGTAAATACAAATTGCTGCTTTCCCTCCTCCTGTGTTTTTGGTGTTAAAAATGTGCCCTGCTCCTGCAGCTGGGAGCAAACCTGTCTCTTGGGCATGAGTTCTGTAGGTGCTGCCCTCAGGGGTGTGGGTCAGTATGTCCTGTAACTGCCAAACCCTCTAACAATATAGTAAACGAGGGATTGATGTTACTACTGGTTTCCCACAACTTCTCCCACTGGTTTTTACTGTGGGGATGCCTAGATGATGCACTGAAGGACGGCGGAAAGCTGAGAGGATTTTTATGTAAGGCTTTGTTTACCAACATGAACAGCCACGATAAGGAAGTTTTGTAGCAGTGCGGTGGATAATTTCCTGAAGCTCTGAGGGCTTTGATCAGCTTGGTGCTGCACCATGTGCAGCTCCACCAGCTCTGCTCCGCTGTCAGCGCTCCAGCCCTGCTGGTGTCGCAGGCACTCGCCCCCCTGGAAGCACAAGTGCAGCAGCAGGGGCTCAGGCACCCGAGCTGTGACTCCTCCCGCAGAGGCGTGCTGAATTGGCCCCAACTTAAAGAACAGGACACTCGGATGAACCATTGGTTAGTGAAGCTTTAACACGGAGATCTGCCGTGGTGCGATTCCCAAAATGTTTGTTGTGCTTAGTAGAATTCATGAGACTGTTTCATGTTTCTTTAGATGACGTCTAGGTGAACTCTTAGAACCAGGTATTTTTGTCTGTGAGTTCAAGTACAGCAGAAATACTACTTGCAGGTTAGGCATGCAGTGAAACAAGCTACTTATTTACCATCTATCCCTGGTCCAGCTTGCTAGGAAGATGAAAGATGCGTAACCCCACACCCACTGCCCCCTTTTCCAAAGAATTTGGGTTCATGCTTAAATCAACGATTTTCATGCTGAAGCATAAAAGAGAAACACCAGGATGTGGGCAATTCGGGGGTAAACATCAATTTTTGTTTTCAGCTGAAGGTTTCTTTCCACTTTTGCTGTACGTCAGGCCCTAGAAATGCACATTTTGTGGAGGTTTTTCTGATGTTCCCAACTTTTTAACATTGAGGAGACTTCTCCTGTGCTGGAAGACTGATATGGGTGCTTTAGAAGTGGTTTTTGTCATCTTGAAGGAGCTGAGTAGTAACCTTAATGTTCAGCTGATTGGACTGAGTGTTTAGGAGTCAGCAAACTCTAAGAGCAAAGTTTTTAATTAGTAGCAGCAGTCGTTCCCCTCCTGACCCAAGCACTTGAAGCCGTGCCAGTTCAGATACCAGCAGTGTAAGCCCTTTGCCTGAACTCTGCATGTATCTTCCCAGCAAGTCCCGAACTGCAGCATGGCTCTTCCAGCTGGAGCCTGGGAAAACAGTCCCAGGCACTGGCCTGACTTGGGCACCATCAGCACCAACACCCAGCATGTGCTGCTGAACTCCTTCCATGCTACTGTCAGTGCCCAGCAACTCCTGGAAGTGTTAGCGAGGTGCCCCCTAAATCCCCATTTAAATGAAAATAGAGGGGAACTTTATGCCAGTTTTGAAACTGAAGCAGGACTGTCCAACTGGTGGTTCTGCAACTATTAATTGCCCTGTCACTGAACTGCTGCTGCTGCGTCTGCACGTGCCCTGAACGCACAGCCCCATGAGCCAGGGCTAGGTGCAGAGTGGCACAACAGGGCGCTGCAAGTATCTAAAATTAGCACCTACCCTGTGGTTCCTGAAAGGAGCCGTGAACTCACCTCTGACCCAAGACTGCTACAGGAAGCATTTTCCTCAGCTGCACCTTGCAAGCAGTGAACATCACTCGCGTTAAGAAACTGCAGCACGAGATGATGCATCATGACAATTAGCACAACTTTTAAGCTGCAGAAAGTGTCCTACAAACCCAAGGGGAAATAGGCCACTATTTCACAAGTGAAAGGGATTTTACAAGACACTTAATGAAGCAACTGCTGTTGAAGAGCCATTCAATCCAAGCCT